ATTCTTCGATTTTAGAGAACACGAACTCGTGCAGGTCAGGTCGGGGGATCACTTTTCCCTAGGTCATGTGGAGGTTCCCTGTATCATTTGGAGGTCACCCACCCGAGATCAGTGTTTCTCCCTGTATCACTAGCAAGGATGCAAGGTAGCCCTCAGTAACCCTGAATCCTGATGGAAACAGGGGAAACGCAGGCCTTGGCGAGGTCTGTCCCGGTGTTCGCTTCTGAACCCTTGGGGCTCCGCTGTCAGGCTGGGGCCCTGGGGCGGAGGCTGAGGTGGGGTGGAGGTCGAAATTTCCAGGAAGACTTCCACTTCAGGAATCTCCCCCAAGCACAGCCCTCCTTGGGACTTTTGGAGCTGACCTGACACCTAGCGGCCACAGCAGGAATGACTTCGGGTTTGGGCGTTTTGAGCTTGTCCTCCTCTCACTGGTTTGCTTGGGGAGAGGCACCCCAAGTCAGGGAGCCGGTAGCCTGTAGGGCTGGGAGTGAGGGTGTGATCTCCATCATTCCCCAGATCTACCCAAACAAAAATAAAGAATAATTGTCTTTATGTTATTTAAAAGATGAGAATTATTTTGGAAAAATACCAGTTTTATTGGTCCACACCATCACAGGCTTGCAATTTGTTCATTACACTTTTTATTTTTTATTTTTTTGGCCGGCTCAGCCCACCCTCAGGGAATGGTGGCATGGCATGTGGTGGCGGGGATTGAACCGTGGTCCCCTGCACCTGCCTAAGCTTGCCGAAGCAGGCACTTTAAACCTCTGAGCTATCTCATCAGCCCTGTGCATTACACATTTGATACTGCACAGTAGCTCCTTCTGACTCCCATAATTCTTAGGATCCCACCCAAACCCCAACAGTTTTTGGACACCTGGTTAGAGGCATAGAGAACTTATTTATTTATTTGGTACAGGGTCTTGCTACACAGCTTGGAGTCATAGTGATCCTCCTGTCCCAGCCTCCCCAGTGCTGGGATTATAAGTGGGTGCTACCAAGCTTGGTTTCAGGGCCAAGAGGTACTGGGGGTTGAACCCAGGTCCTTGTGCTTGCCAGGCAGGTGCTTAAACCGCCGAGCTACCTCACCAGCCCCTAGAGAATTTCATGTATTATGAAAGATTTGCATGGCGTGACCCTGATTTCATAGACAGCCAGGACAGGCGCCTACAGAGCACTTACTGGGACTGGTGAGTTTCAGCCCATACATTTCTTCTTGCTGTTTTATCTTCCTCATCCTAATTTTGACTCTGAGCCCCTATTTCACCACCTGATTGTTGGAAATTGCCCTGGAGGGATGCGCTCAGGGCGGAGCCTTTGGTAGTGCTTGGTTGTTCCAGAAGCCCCTCTGCCCACCTGACCCAGTGCCCGCCCTTGTTGATGACACACCATTATTCCTAGCTACTGGGAGGGTAAGGCAGGAGGATGGCAAGTTCAAGGCCAGCATGGGGTACACAGCAAGACCTAGTTTCAAAATATACAGTGGGATGGGGGTGTACCTTAAATATGGGGCTGGGAGTGTGATTGAGTGGTGCAGCGCTTGCCTAGCGTGTGCCAGGCTCTGGATTCCATCCCTAGTGCTGTGGAAAGCAAGCAAACCAGCCAGCCAGCCAGCCAGCTAGCCGGTCAAAAGCTCAGAGGATTAAAGCGCCTACAAAGGATGCAGGGACCAGGGGGTTTGATGCCGGGCCTGCTATGCCAGCCCCGCCCTAGGGGCACGCTGAGATGGCAATTGAGACTGGGCGTGGTGGTGCAGGCCTATAATCCCAGCTCTTGGGAGGCTGTGAACAGGCAGATCACTAGGAGTCCAATCTAGTCGTGAGACTCTCAACACCCTATAGACCCTTCCTTAAAATACAAAAAAAGAAAGAAAGAAAGAAAGAAACAAAGAAAGAAAGAAAGAAAGAAAGAAAGAAAGAAAGAAAGAAAGAAAGGGAGAGGGTGGAGAGGAAGGGGGAGGGGAGGAGAAGACAGGAGAGGAGAGGAGAGAAGGGAAGAGAAGAGAGGAGAGGAGAGCTGTGGGTTGGAATTCTTCATTTCTCAGGTGGAACCATTGAGACTCACATACCAGGTAGTGCCAGGCCACAACCAGGTGCCAGGTGACAGGTTCTGGCCCCAGTATAAGCTGCTAAATTGTTGTGGTAGTCATCTAACATGGCCAAAGCCCTTAAAACACCAGCTTATCTTCCCAATGACCACTTCCTCCTGCCCACTCCAGCCCTGGAAACAGTTTCCTCTCTCCTTTCCTGAGCATACAGGAGAGACCACTTCCTCCTGCCCACTCCAGCCCTGGATACAGTTTCCTCTCTCCTTTCCCGAGCACACAGGAGAGACCACTTCCTCCTGCCCACTCCAGCCCTGGATACAGTTTCCTCTCTCCTTTCCGGAGCACACAGGAGAGACCCCAATCAGCTCCTTGCATGTAACTGAGACTGCCCCTCCAACTCCACCCCTAGCGAAAGCCCATGAACGTCGGAGCTTTCTTTGTCTCAGGTCGGAGGATTTTCCCATCTGCCCTCTATCCTCTCTGTGTCATTGGAGTCAACGAAGGCTTCTTTTATCTTTCCTATCTCATTACTGCACTGCTGAAAAACCTCTCACCAGGTCTCTCATCTCCTGCCCTGGGCTCCAGGCACGTGATCTCTTGGGACTTGCTTCTAAAGGCCTGTCCCTCATTTCCTCAGCCTCTGTGTCCTCTGCTCCTGCCCATCTCCTGTCCTGAAACAACTGCTTCTGCCCTCTTGCCATCCTCTTGGTGGCTCTTTTCTTTCTGCCCAGCAAGTCCATTACATTCTCAGTTTGTCACTGTGGCTCTTTTTTTTTTTTTTTTGGTGTCTGGTTCAGACTGTCCTGGGGGTGGGGCTGGTGCAGCATGTGGTGCCGGGAATCGAACTGGGGTCCCTGCACTTTGCCTAAGCTTGCCTAAGTAGGCACTTTAGACCACTGAGCTATCTTGCTGGACTGTTGTGGCTCTTTGTGAGGCCACCCAGAACTTGGCTGCTGCTGGTCCTAAAAGCAGGAGATCCACTGTCCCTGCCCCCTCCACACACAAGGTGCGCCACCAGCAGCCAGGAGATGCCCAGAACCAATCCAGCCTTTATTTGCTTGTACCCAGCACAGGCCATGGCATTTGTGTCCTCTTAGTCTCCTTGGTGCCCCCGCCTTTCTTGCTGGGACTCCTCCCTCGCAAGGACTTCTTTCTGGACCACACTTGTGATGACTTCTGCACTTCGAAGAAGCTGGCTTGAAAGGTGACAGGTTCTGCCAAAAAAAA